TGGGTGTGCAGAAACCTGTGACCTATACTCCATTTCAGATTTGTCATTCCCGACCAACCCCTCACCTGCAGACCGGGATCCTTTATTTGCAGAGCCGGATCCCTTGAGGGAAGCTAGGCAACTTGACGAGGGGGTGTGTACATCCAATGATCCTTTCAGCTTCTCTGTCCCAGAGCCTAATAGTACACTAGCACCCCTGCAATGTGAGTTTGTTTTAGTCCCCGTCTCAGCTGGCGCCCTCTCCTCTTTGTGAAATCTTGACAGATGCAGAAATTGATGATGCAATCCACAGGGCGGGACCAGTGGACCAGGACTACACCAAACTAATTGACTTTGCCACGTCACCAGCCTCCCAACGCTCAGAACCAAAACCATCAAAATACTCTGTTGAGCATAGGGAAATCATCTGCAGCCATCACGACTCCAAACTTGAAGGACACCCCAGACGCACCAAGACCCTCAGCCTAGTGCAACACTCTTTTACCTGCCTGTCATTAAAACAACTTGTGAACTGGTACATGGATGGATGTGATTCTTGTCAAAAAATCAAACCCTGCACACAGAAACCCCTTGGACTACTCAAAACACTCCCAATACCCGCTGGACCTTGGACCAACATCAGCTACAACTTGATCACTGACCTGCCCTCATCAGGTGGATTTGATAGTATCTTGACAGTCATTGACCGCCTGACCAAGATGGCCCACTTCATACCTTGCAACAAAACACTCAACGCCGAGGGACTCGCCCATTCAATGCTTGAGAATGTCTGGAAACTGCCTGGAAACTGCACAACACACCAAAAACTATTGTCTCCAACCATGGCTCCGTCTTCATTTCCCAAATCACTTGAGGAATGGACCACCAATTGGGAATCAGGTTACACCCATCAACTGTGCTCCACCCTCAAACTGATGGACAGTCCAAAATTGCCAACAAAACCATCAAGCAATATTAGTTCCACTTCATCAGCTACCCCAAGACAACTGGGCCCAACTGCTTCTGACTGCTGAGTTTTCCCACAACAACCATGACCACGTCTCCACTGGCATCTCACCATTCAAAGCAAACTATGGATTCAACTTGTCCTACAGCAGCATACCCTCTCCTGAACAGTGTTTGTCACAGTCAAAGAGCACCTCAAGGAGCTCAGTGAGGTACAAGAAGAATTGAAGGAGTTCCTTCAAAGATCACAAGAGTCAATGAAGCTTCAGTTTGACAAGCACATCAGGATGAACCCGGATTGGAAGATTGGGGACAGGGTGTGTCTCAACAGTCGCAACATATCTACAAATAGACCGTTACCCAAGCTGGATGACCAATTGCTAGGACCTTTCCCAATTTCCACAGTCATCTCTTCCTCTGCATATGAACTGACCCTACCTGCTTCTTTTCGGGGATCTGGTCTTCCACATGTCACTGCTTTGGAAGCGCCAACCAGACCTAATCAACGGTGTGGAAAGAAAAACTGCCTCAGTAGGTAACTGAGTCCTTCTCTGATGTGTATCAAGTACTCTTTGGTTTCACTGCGGAGAACTGCTAGAATGTTGAGTATCTTTCTTAATCCCCAATAACAAACACTCCCTTGTTACCGCTCTTTGCACACTGCAA